ATATGTTATGGTTACTATTTAAACTTGTATTGTTATATATTATATTTAATTTTAAAGGAAAACTGGAAGGCTTTTGACGATGTGTTAATGTTAATGGTGATAATATAAAAAAGGGTTTCGGTTTCTTGCTGGTTCTTTCCAGGCTTGTCTTGTCCTATTTTCCGAATTAATGGTTCGGAAAATAGTACTCGTACGTGTTTAATATACACTTACAATACATAAAACAAAAAAGTAAGTATTATTTCAGTAAGTATTATTTTACTTAAGTGTATCTAATACAAAATTGATTTATTTTATTCTATGGGATTACTTTACTATTGGACAAAGGAAAAGAATATATTGATATAGGAATAAAGTAAAGAAAGGTCCATAACCGATAATGATCTGCTTATGTGCTGATTACACTGATAGAATTTCCGTTTCATTCCAAAGTATTATAGGTGTAGACGTAGACGGAGACAATGCGGAATTATTCAATCCAAAACTATGTTAGGTAAAATTTTAGTTACTTGATATTCAAAATGTTCAATGCTTATAGTGTCTCCCAACTCGTGAATTCGTGAAACAATTTTCAGTTGTTCAAAAGCATTGGGCGGGATACGATGTGTTCCCGTTTCGCGTGGCTCTGATTCATTCGAATCAAAGTTCGTAAGCGTGAGCACGCGATTGTGAATCTGTGATTGGTATATTTAAAATTTAAACTACCTTTTATATAAATTCTAAATTAAGTTTTTGCAAAACTAATACATAATCTTTTCCCTTCAATTACTATTTATGACATAATTAATTTTCGGGTACGTATTTTTTTATTTTTCAAAATCGATAACCATTTTAATTTAACAAAATTCCTGACTAATTATTCTATAATTTCTTTTCGTAAGAAAAACAATTTTCGAGTCCTCGACCCAGACCATCACTTATTATTAGTTATCCTTCATTTGCTTATGTAACTCTACGCCAATGCAGACTACATTTCTTACTTTCTTACTTAATAAAAGATATTTGTTTATATTTTAGAAATTTTTATCTACTTTCATTAAAATAATGTCGAAGAGATTTATTAAGTTTCATACATTGTTTAAGGATTCCTTTGTATGGGAACATTAATTTTCCTCAATAAATAAATATTTTAGAAAGGATTAACATTTAGTTAATGATGTTGTTGTTGTTAAAAATATTTTTAATAGTTTTACTTATTTCAGTTTTACTTATTTCTTTTAATTTGTATTTAATTTTTAGATATTTTTTTAATTGACAACGTGATTTATTCCATTTTATAAATAAGCTACTATTATACGTTATAATGAATTCAAGCTTCAAGTATCGTAAAAAGTTACATTTTTTGCTCAGATCAAAGAGTTTTTTTGTATACACGTAAAAGTGACAAACGAACACACATTCACCCAATGGTAAATGGATGCTTTGGGTCATATACACCCCTCTCATATCCATGTTTTCTAACAAGGCTCAAAGTTTTGTTGTGCTGTGATCAATAAGTGATGCCACATGATCAGTAAGAAGATTCGCAGATTCTTGTCACTTACCACACAAAACACAGCAGTATCAAGCTGTTGTTTTATGCTGGTATTCTGCACCTAAACGCGATGAGCAGACATATTTGTACTGCAACCATAATATAGTAGCAGCATTATTCAATCATGTAGAGCTTACCTGTATGTATTTGCCTAAGTTAGCTCATTTTTAATCTTCAAAAAATTGTATCCCTTTTTGTATTTTAGTTTTTTTTTATAGGATAGGATGATAAACGAGCACACAGTCCACCTGATGGTAAGTGGTTGCTGCGGCCCATAGACATCTACATTCATCCTCGTTTACGAATCAAAATGCAGAGGCATTGTCACCCGTGAGGATTAAGATAGAATGCCTCTTTTCCAATAAATAGGGTCTCCGGTTCTCTACTCTCACCATACGAAACACAGCAGTGTTAAGCTGCCATTTTACGCTGGTATTCTGTGAGAGCGTGGTCCTTCCCCGGTCGAGCCGACCCATGGTAATATTAATACATGGTAAATTAAGTTTCAACGTCGTTTGTTAATTACTAATGTGGTTAATTACAATAAATAGTTTAGTATAGAGACATGTCGATTTTTAACTTTTGTAATAAAATAAAGGACCAAAATGATTTGGAAGAAAATAAGATTGTGTGTTTGTAAATATTAGGCACAATATCCACTATTGTACACTAATTGGAACTACTGACACGATGTATTCTATCCAAGTAATTAATCGAGTATTGGAAAATAAACTTCCCTATGAATCAATGTAATCATGTATGTGTAGTATCGGATAATATGCAATCTTGTGCTGAGCTACTACGCCTGTTAGCTCAAGAGCTAAACGCTCGCCGTAAATTTTACAATATACGGGCAACCCAGCTTCATCCTCTCCGGCACCAATGAAATTGTTAATTGCAATTTTAAGTGATGATTTACCACAACTTATTGCAATATACCAGCGTGAAATAGCCGCTTAAGGCTGCTGTGTTTCGTATAGTGAGTATAGAGAACCGGAGACCCTTTTTACTGGAAACGATGCATTCCATCTTAATACTCAGGAGTTACAACGCATTCTGAATTTTCATTCTTTATCGAGGGTAGATGTATATGTGTATGGTCCATAGCATTCCACCTCTACCTGTTGTACTGTGTACTCACGCAACCCTTATTATATTAAAAAAAAAACGTGTTCAGTGGAGGAAAGCAATGTGAAGAAACCTATATATCTAAGAAAAAAAATTGAATACATGTGTAGTCTTCCTACATGTATTCCACACACATTCCTCCAACACTTCCTTGCCTTTAGAGCACTTTTAGCAATAAAACACACAAAGAGCCACACATACACATACACATGCACACACAAACACACACACACACACACACACACACACACACACACACACAGACAGATTCCACAGAATACCAGCGTCAAATAGCAGCTTAATGCTGCTATTTTTCTTATGGTAAGTATAGAGAACCGGAGACCCTTTTTACTGGAAACGAGGCATTCCGTCTTAGTCCTGGTGACAACGTATCTGCATATTGATACTTAATCAAAGATAAATGTAAATGTCTATGGGCCACAGCATCCATTTACTATCAGGTGCATTGTGTGCTCGATTGTCACCCCCATCATATAAAAATGAGGTAGCGGACGTAACGTCTCAACGGCACAGGTGCCCGGGACGTTACGTCGATGTGTTTAGATTGTTATTTTACTTTAATTCAAGCTATGTGTTTAACATTTAAAGTTAATAAAATTAATACGAATCTATCAAAAGATGACAGAATAAAAAATAAACTTATTGTTATATTAATACAGTTCTATATTCTCCAAAAATACATATAGCAAACCAATCTATTGCTTGCTAATGAAGAGTTCAAATGTTAATTCTTTCTTAAATTACAATGTTCGTAATAAGTAGTGAGTATGCGGAAATCTTTTAAGATGTGGGTCATTTGGCAAATTCTTGGAAGGAAATACTCTACACAGTGAAATCTTATAGCTCATATTAATGGCTTATATACTATAGCTTATATACTTACATGTGTATAATATTATGCAAATTAACTTTATTATTAATAATTCTTCATGATTTTCCTGTTTTTTTATAATGCGATTGAATATTTATTTTCTCATACTTTTAGTAGAAGAATTAACACATTTGTCACTAAAAAACTAGAAGCAAAATAATTTTCTTTACCCAAAGCAAAGAAATATTGATAAATAGTAGATTGAACGCCGAAATAGAAATATAGTTAATTGCAGTATATGTACTTTCTCGATCAATTATACAACATGTAACAAAAACCCTGTTGTTCCCGTTAAGTACGTTATCAGGATCAGTATTCAAACCTATAGAAATAACTTTTTTTATAAAACTCGACCATATTAAATAAAATAAAAAAAATATTGTTCGAGTTTAAAAAAAAAGTTATTTCTATACGTTTGAATAATGATCCTGATTACGTACGTAACAGGAACCACAGGGTTTTGTTACATATTGCATAGTGTCTACTGTTCATCAATACCTGTATATTAAATAAAATCTCTGTATACTCGCATCTATTCAGTTACAAGTGCGGTAGTAAGTTACAACAATTGCAAATCTAAAGGAGGCAATTCACGTAGCGACGGTCGAAAGGACCAACTCACGAATTTCAGTAGTATGTGCTAGGTTCCATCGTCACAGAGCGGTCCGTACGATCAAAATCATGTCGACATTTCAATGAAAACTTCATCAAACTTTGCGATACAACCATATCCTTCCAAGATTGAGTGCTGGTGTTGCGACGGTGTGAGCGACCAAGTCAATCAGTCCTTCGAATAATATCAATGAATGGAAGTGTCATGTCAAATAATAAAGCTGGAATAAAAAATAATCGCTGTATGATAGAGATTTAGCTTGAGGTCAGTACGAGTTCAGCATACAGAGTAATCGACAACTTATATATCTCTTTACAATTTTTATTAAAAAGTGCGAGCGAATTTGAGAAATATTTCTTTTCTTACAAGTCAAACGTTCCAATAACGCTAATACTAATAATGCAGCTTTTCATTTTTTCTTTAATTTTTTTACTCATCATTTACGCATCAGAGCACACCACCCGTTCACTGTTTTTGCGGATCATCCGTTCTACCAACTTCAAACGCAAGTGTGCTTATTAAACTGTCGTTGTGACTGTTTGACCGACGGTCCGTACTCCGTACTACCGTGGCTACGTGAATGTCCCTTGTAAATAAATATAAGAATAAAATTATGTTTTTCTATTTTAATCGAAATTATGTCTAAAATTTTTAGGATATTCAGGGGCTTACAGCAAACCGAAAGTTATTTCATTGATATTCGTGTTCATTTGTCATAAAATTTGTGCTTTTTTAATATTTAGGATTTAAAAATGGATAACACATATATTTTATTCTATGGACTTTAAGAATGCTCAATCGCTTAGTAATATTGAGAAGAACTATTTGAAATCATGTGCAAGAATGTGAAGGGAGTAACATGGGAAACAGAAGCGTTAATGGGAGGACAGACTAAGACGTCGAGATGGGAGCGCTTTTGTCCTAGAGCCGCTTTATCACATATTGGCCTATTTATTGCGCTCATGCTGTATACCGCTGGTGGAGGACTAGTGAGTAATTTGTCATTCTAGTTAATAATATTGGATATGTCTTTCTTATAAATTTATTTAACTTTTAATCTAATATTGAATGTGGGAAGGTGAGCTCAAAATTAAAAAAAAAAAAACCGCTAACTATCAGACATGTAATCCCTAAATTAATTTATTTAAATATTTTTTGATACGATTTTAAGGGGATCGGGCTTAATTGGCCGTTTTCAATATTTTTTTTCAATGTTGTTTTTAATTTTTTTCTTCTGCATCAGCTCGTGGAAGTTTTTTTTTATAGGATAGGTACGAAAACACAGTCCACCTGATGGTAAGTGGTTGCTGTGACATTTATCCTCATTTGCGAATCAAAATACAGATACGTTGTTACTCGTGAGGGCTAAGATGGAATACCCCTTTTCCAGCAAAATGGGTCTCCGGTTCTCTACATTCTCCATACGAAACACAGCAGTGTTAAGCTGCTATTTTACGCTTATATTCTGTGAGAGCGTGGTCCTTCCCCGATCGAGCCGACCCATTCGTGCTACAACTATACTACTAATATAGCTGCAGTATGGCTCTACCACGTATAAAAGTGTCAGTCTTTGTTATACATTACTCTATTCCGTTGTACCGCAATCGCAAGACATTTGGCACCCTCACGCTGCTCGTCGTCATCGACATTTTACGGTATTTAGGATCCCGGTATTTTACGTCTGGTGTAAGCGATGATTATGATAATATTAATAAGCCCTGATCGCGAGGGGGCGAATGATTGACGGTTTGATAACACAGTAGCTAAGCTACAGCCAGCGCTGCAGACCGCGTGTTTAAGTCTCGCACGTAGTAAATAATTGCATTGCCTATAAATAATTATTCTGGGACTAGAAGTTTATGCTTGTGCAATTTATAAATACGCTTTCGCGACATATAGGAGAAATTCCTAGTGTTCCACACCAAGAATTTCTCCTGTATCCGTATGTCTTCAAACAAAAAAGGAAGAAAATGATTTAATGTATTGTAAAAAGTATTAATAATGTTAAACTTATCAGACAGGGCGTTTTCTTAACATTTACACGCATAAGTCCCTAAGAAAAAATAACTTAAATATATGTAGTTGAGAGATATTTTTATATTTTCAATTAAAACGGAGATTCAAGGGAAGTAAATGGAATATTATAAATTTTCTTACAGCCTCGACGGAACGTATTTAAATTAATTCATTCATTACAACTTAACAAAAGTCTACTGCTGAACACAGATTTCCCAATAGCCTCATAAAGGTGATATTATAACTGTAATTATACTTACTAATAAAACTGTGGGATTATAAGAGTAAGTTAATCTGTGTATAAGTGAATAAAATTTAAATTAGCTATGTTGGTCAAAATTGTGATGTTCTCATAAAGTATTTAATTTAGTCTACGTAAATTTTGGCCAGTACAATCACTCTTATACAGCCTATAAAAGTTCACTGCTGAACATAGGCTGCCCCATAGATTGCCTCATAGGAGGGATTTTGCCATTGTTGCCACGATTTGGTGGATGGGTTGGAAATCGCAGGTTTTTATTACATTGATTTGTTATTACGACACTCATGAAGCTATATGACGTATTCTTATTGGAATGTACTAGAGGGATCAGTAAAACAAATAAATGCCTTAACTCCACGTGTTATTTATCAAAAGTCCTTACTTTAGATGAAAATTAGCGGTATGGTGTGAAAAAGTTTCTGGTTTCTATTGCTAACCTTTTTTACTTTCGTGCATAATGCTCGCCCTCTACCATGGAGGGAAAATACACATCGTTAACATTCTATCTCAGTAAAAATGTTAGAAGTTAACGTACACAAACAGTGGGATATTTCGTTATGATACGGAACGTATAAAACGAAGTCATACCTATATATATTATTATTATTGCAGCCATTTGTGAATGGCTGTAGTAATCTACTGCTGAACATACGCCTTCCACAATTAATACCACAAAGCACAGTGTTGAGCCACCTACATTCATTGACTTCCTTCATCTTTTACCAAATCCTCACTCCATCTGGTGGGTGACCGCTCTATACTTCGCATACCCGGACAAGGCTTAACTCGAGAACCTTTCTTCCCCATCGGTTTTCGGTTCTTCGACCTATATTGCCGGCCCATTGCCACTTCAGCTTATTGATCCATTGGGAAATATCGGTTACTTTGGTTCCACTGCGAATAACCTTACTTCTAAGTTTTTCACGTAGAGAAACCCCAAGCATAGCACTCTCCATAGATTGTAGATTGACCTTGAGCTCATACGACATATGTTTATAATACGTATGACTAAATATATTTTTATGGTAGCGGCGATGAATTTGGTATTCACAGTTCTGGCAAATTAACGTTATCTGAAGAGCTCTTTTTTTTTACAAATATTCATTTACTTTTAGAGTTCTGAGAATTTTATAAGACAATGGCATGACTCCTAACGGTATCACTTTGGTTCCTTAGAAGAAAGGAAAAAACTCTCGTGTGAGATACTATGTGTATAGGCACTCTGAAGGCTTCTATCTTCAGAGGTTCGAGGTTTGATATCATCCAAAATAGCATTGAAGGCGGTCAAAGTTAGTAAATGGTGCAAACGTGACTCTCTTTAAAATTATTATTGATTTTTACCATTTGCTGTAGAGGCTATCAGTTCATAAGATCTGCGCAAGGTTTCACAGACTCTGGTGGTTGCTATTGATAAAAAGAGGGCTAGTGCTTTCTAGCATAGAAGCGAAGAGGTACTATGACGCGTGGAGTATATGATATGATTATATTATGATTGTTGATTTTTAATTGCAAAAATGAGAATACGTTGTTGATTTGAAGTACTTTATACAAATATCATGAGATTTTCAACATAATTCTTAGCCTATATACTAAGGAAGATGTTGTTACCCTTAGAGTCAGTTTTCCGTCATATGTACCTAGTTCAACAATAAAACACAATTTTTTGAGCATATTATTTTAATGACTGTCTATTTAGCCAGAGCGGTGAAAAGTTTTATTTCAATTATACCGATATGTTATAATTGAAATAAAAATTTATTCTCAAGTATTGAGAATTGTATCAATTTAATTTTCAATACTTGAGAATTAATTTTTATTTCAATTGTAATTAGAGAATAAAATTGAAACAATTCTAAATACTTGGGGATAAAAATGGATTAAATATTAAAAACTTAAAACTGAATAACTCCTGTGTTTCATACCTAAATTATAAATATTACTTTAACTATCCTTATAAGCATCTTAATATATAAATTAAATAATTATCTATATGTTAAAAATTAGCAAATTCTTCCTCGTACAAATTGACTGGACTGTCCTTAATTTTTTCATCGTCAAACATATCGAAATTATTTGCGTCACCGGGGTGTTTTATCTTGGGTATAAAAGGCGGCGGAACGCGACTGTTTAGGATACTATCCCAATCGATTTCTCGGAACCATTTATGATTTTTGAAATCCAATATTCCATTCTTAAGATTACCGTACCGCCTGGTAACGTCTACTTGAAGAACATGAGATACAAGGTCTTTCAAATCAACAGAGAAATGACTAGGGCATCGGTATTTACCGGCCACAATCTTTTCATAAATTCTCATTGGCTCAGATGCAAAAAATGGTGGGAAGCCAGCACTCATTTCGAATAATAGAACTCCCGTTGACCACCAGTCTACAGTCATACCATAGCCCTTACTTAAAATAATTTCTGGTGCTAGGTATTCTGGAGTGCCGCAGAGCGTCCAGGTTCTGCCATTTATCACTTTACAAAACCCAAAATCTGTTATTTTTAAGTATCCAGTTCTATCAATCAAAATATTCTCAGGTTTAAGGTCACGATAAACCAAGTCACAAGCATGAAGATATTCAAGAGCCAAAATCACTTGTGCTGCATAAAACTTTGAGGTCGTTTCTTCAAATTTTCCTACCTTTCGCAAATGGGTAAACATTTCTCCACCGGCAATGAATGGCAGAACAAAGTAAATATACACATTATCTTTAAAAAAATATTTCATGTAAACCACAAACGGGAAATTGAGACCGCAGAGTATTTTCTTTTCATAGTAACTATGTTCCACTTGTTTTTGTTTAATTACCTTCTCTTTTTCTAGCATTTTCATAGCATAATATTTTCCTGTAGCAAGATGTTTTGTTAAATAAACAACACCAAAAGCTCCAGTGCCTAAAACTTTATACTTTTCAAAATCACTTAATTTGGCATTGCTTTCAGGGTTTTCGTTCCATATTTCCAAAAACTCTTGATGTAGTTTACGCAGATATAGCGAATATTGATCTTGTTTGGCTTGAGAGTAACCCCCTGTATGATGCGAGCTAAAAAAACCGCTGCGAGTGAAATCCTCACCCATTATTGATAAAAAGATTTTTACTGAAATCAGCTCAATAGTTTTTTACTATTATTACTTGTAGTTATGACTGATATAAAAATCTATCCTATGATTTTATTTAAGGATTTGAAAGATACATAGAAAGAATGTTTTGACGTTTGCTACAGATTAAATATTATTATTGTCGTGACAACAATAAATACTATTCTTTAAGCCTGCGTCATGCCTCCGTTTCCCAAAGGGAGGACTAAGAATTATCTTTTCTACTTCTTAGTAGCCGAGTCTTGGTTACCCATGGTGAACAAAGAGAAAACTGCACGCTGGCTCAAGGTGAAAGGCGTAACACTATGGGTTTTAGTCAGAACGTGTATGACTCAACTGTGTATTTGTTTTCTTGCGCGTATGTGTGGCATTTAGCATAATTTTTTTTTAAAATATCAGCATGTAACAGTGGAATAACACTACTGTGTTTCGTATGGTGACTTTAAAAAACCGTAAACCTCTTTTATTGGTAACGAGGCATTTTGATTCTTAACCAATGATAGATATAGAGGTCTATGGGCCATAGAACTCACAATCAAGTGGACTATGTGCTCGTTTGTCAACCTTATTATATAAAAAATATTACATTTTAAATAATGAGCATTGCA